AATAAGGATCATAAGCCCTTCTTGGTGTAAATCCTGCATCATTCACTTCCACCTCTTCTGTCAATGTAGGACAAGCATTCGTAGGATGCTCAACACTCGCATAAATATATTATGACCAAAAGTTTTCAAATGAAGAGAAATACATTATGACCAAAAGTTGATATGAGAATGTATACAAGAGCCTATATATAGGCCAAGAGAGGGGGACAAATCACTTAATTACAATTAAATTGGCAACACATTCCCATAGAGAACATATCCCAATATACATAATTGCTACATGTTCCCAAAAGTATATTACCAATATCACAATAATGGCAACACGTTCCCAAAAGAATATATTTCCAAAATTATAATCAATGGTAGTACATTCCCAAAAAGTGATGTAAGCAATGATGTCAATGCTATGATGTAAGCAATGACATCATCACATGTCTTAAATTATTTTGATTTGTATAACCGTTAAGCTCGGGCTGATAGGTCTCTATGTTTCATCTTTGTTTATATTCTTCATCTCGAGCTCTCGTATTAAGTTGGAAAATTGATCTTGAAGTTTACAAGCTCGGTTTCGGGTAATTAGTCCAAGTGGTTCGGAAGGCTTTTGGACGTTCACGTCAGATATAAACAACCAAATATTAAAAAATCCTTATACTGGTCTTCGGCAATGGCGCCAAAATTGCAAGCCTCTCGCACAGCTGCAAAATAAAGTATCAGTTCCTATGTCACAAAATATGCAAAATGCAGTAATGCTAGTGAGTAGGATCATCTCTACAAAGAACAGTAATGATTGAACACTCGGTTGAATAAAATTATACTAATATATATATATATATAATGGGGGGATTTGATTATCACACTAAACAAAGAGAAAATAAATTCGCTCAATTATATAAAATAAACTAGAATGCAAGACGATTTACCAAAGATAATTAAACTCTAACATAGGCAGTGGCGGAGCCAGACTTGTTCCGCCGAGGGGCCTAAATGTTTCATTGAGGTCGAAAAATAAGTAGTTTTTATTATTTTTGAGCGGAATTAATGGTAAAAATATGTATTTTAACGTAGTCAATCAATATAAAAATATTAATGTTTTAGAGAATTGATGGAATTTGAACAGTATAGTCGATGTAATGGCAGGTATGATGGCTCGGGGGGGCTCGGGACCCCCCAAGCCCCTATGTGGCTCCGCCACTAAGCATAGGCATGAATTTTTGTTCGGGATATAAAATTTTTTCATCAACTAAAAAGCAAGTTCATTGACTAGTTGGATAAATTGATTATAGTTGATGTACACGCGTTCACAACCAACCTTTCCTTACTTTGTCAAGAGGTAGGGTACAGTCGTTAGCTATTTTCCTAATCGAGTGAGAATCCTAGGTACGGCTATAGTTTTACTGACTCGACAACATTAAAGGCTAGAAAGGCCCAATTCAATTTTAAAAAATTCCTATGCGGATTTGTTCAAAATTGATTCTAATTCTTCCATAGAGTATTCTTCTTCTAGGTTTCTACACCAACTGGAAGATTACACAATTATGGGTGTCAATCTCCAATATAACTATGAAATCTCAAGTCAATAAGTACGCAATAATCAATTTAAGATTTCTAAACTTGTAATTTATAAGAATTAAAAATATCTAACATCAATGAAAACCAAATTTAACCAAAACAAATCTCACAAATTTAATCCCAAACATCAATTCACACTTACGCTAGAAATGTAATTACTCGCAATTTATAGAAACTGAAAACATAAAACAATTCAAAAAGTTCATCATGCCTTCTATTCTTTAAAAATAGATAAGGAAGAACAATACCATAATAGAAGAACAATGCCCCGAAAAGTCGTCTGCAATCCTCCTCCAAGTTCTCTGCTATGTGTGTTCTTGATTCTCCCTCTCCCCTTTAAGAAGAATGGTGTCGTGGTGAAGAACGTGGTAATCTCTTTCTCTCCCCCTCTTCAATTGCCCACTATCTCTTCTTAATTTCTCAAGTCAAGATCACATTTGCAATAAAATACCAAATAATCCTTATATTCTCAATTTATCCTAGGGGACCTTTTTGTAAATTCCAAATTCACTCATTGTGTTGCGTGATCACGCCTAAGGCCTGTGTGTGTTTTGCTTTTTCTCTCAAATATGCCCAAAATTTTGCCAACTCCATGGAACCTATTACACAATCAAAAACACACCATGAGGAACATATATACAAAATTTTTCATTCAAAAATTGCCCAAAACATAAAAAAAAAAAAAAAAAAAAAAAAATATCATCATATACAACACATATCAGGTACCTCAAAGGATGCAGACGGCAATAAGAGAAAATATAAAGCCATTAAGGTTAAGACTGCTTAGGCTCATGTTCCAGCTCCAGCTCCAGGTTCTCAGGCGCGTCCTGAGAAGACTTGCTTCTTTTGCAAGAAAGTTGGACATGAGAAGAATAATAGTTCTAAGTTTCATGATTGGCGCGTGAATAAGGGCATGTTTCTTACTTTGGTTTGTTCTGAGGTTAATTTAGCTTCAGTACCTCAAACACCTGGTGGTTAGACTCTAGATCAACTACTAACATCAGGGTTTCAATGCAGGGTTGTCTGAGCTAGCGAAACTCAACTGATGCTAAAAGACTCATTTACTTTGGAAATGAGGGTTCAGTAGAGGTGGAAGCCGTTGCATTTTCAAGTTGTTATTGACTACTTGACATTTTCTTGAATTGCAAGACACTTTTATTGTACCTTCATTTAGACGGAATTTGGTTTATGTTTCTTATTTGGACAAATTCGGTTATCATTGTTCTTTTGGAAACAATAAAGTTGAGTTGTCTTTAAATTCATGTTTGGTTGGTTTTGGTACTTTTATGGTGAATGACAACTTATATATGCTCGACATTCTAGCTTCCTATAATGAGGCCTTAAATGTGGTATCAAAAGGTACTAAGCGAAAATTACACGACTCTAGTTTTTTGTGGCACAAACGTTTAGGTCATATTTTAAGAACTAGAGTTGAAAGACTCATTAAGGATGAAATCCTTGATTCCATAAATTTTTTCAGACTTTAACGTTTGTGTCGATTGCATTAAGGGTAAACAAACCAAGGTTAAAAGAACAGATGCTTATCGAATTACAAATATCTTAGAATTGATACATACAGACATTTGTGGTCCTTTTCCCACTCATTCGTAGAACGGTCAACAATATTTCATATCATTCATAGAAGATTATTCTCGATATGGTCATCTATACCTTATTAAAGAAAAATCTGAGGCACTGGGCATGTTCAAAACATTTAAGGTTGAAATTGAAAATCAACTTAACAAATGAATTAAGACTATCAGATCTGACCGTGGAGGAGAATATTATGGCAGAAATGATGGTTGGGGTGAATAATGTCCAGGTCCTTTTTTCTGACTTCCTTAAGGAGTGTGGAATCGTCCCTCAATACACGATGTCCGGTTCACCTAGCATGAACAATGTTACTGAGAGATGAAATCCCACATTGAAGTATGATCAGTCAATCTACTTTGCCACCATCACTATGCGGAGAAACACTAAAAACAACAATTTACATCCTTACTCGAGTTCCAACAAAGGCGACTGCCAAAATACCATATGAACTCTGGATTGGGCGTAAGCCTAGCTTAAGTCATCTTAGGGTGTGGGGTTGTCCAGCTGAGGCAAAGGCCTATATGCCAAATGAACCAAAGCTATCACCTCGTATAGTGAGCAGTTATTTTATTGGCTGTTAAGAACGGTCAAAGGGGTATAAATTTTATGATCCCATATCAAGAACTATTTTTTAGACGGCTACTGCGAAGTTCTTTGAGGATTTTGAGTTTAGGAGGAGAAATACAATTATAGACTTCACTTTTGAGGATCAAGAAATCACTGATGTGATTGATCAAACATCTCATGAGTTAGCAGTCATTCCAACTCCCAAAGAGTTTCAAAGTACGACTAAGGAACCCGTTCATATAGAACATGAACCTATGTATGTGGAACAAACTCAACAAACTCAAGAACATACAGTTCAAGAGCCAACGCAATTGCGTAGATCCACTAGAGAACGAAGAATGCCATTCCGGATGATTATATGACATTTTTTCAAGAAAATGAAGACAATGATGGCATAACTGAGGATGATCCAATTAATCTTTATCATGCCATGAAAAGTCCTTATTCAGATAAATTTGTTGATGCAATGTCTGATGAGTACAAGTCAATGCAAACAATAAAATTTGGGAACTTGTCCCATTGCTAGAAGGTGCAAGCCAAGAGATATCTCTATAGCTAAATGGGAGAAATTAAATCTCAGCCAGTGCCCTAAAGTAAATTTGAAAATTGAAGAAATGAAAAATATCCCTTATGCCTCAGCAGTTGGGAGCCTCATGTATGCACAAGTATGTACGTTTCCAAATATTGCGTACATAGTCGGTGTGTTAGACAAATACCTCAATAATCTTGGATTGGATCACTAGAAGGCAGCCAAAAGAGTGATGAGATACCTGAAGAGAACTAGTAATCACATGCTCACATATAGAAGGTCAGACCAATTGGAGATCATTGGATGCTCTGACTCCAACTTTACGGGATGCCAAGATGGTAGGAAATCTACATCTAACTATGGTTATATGTTGACTGGTGGGGCCATCGCTTGGGAGTTTGCATTTGGCTTGCACCTTTAGGGCACGCCATATAGAGACTTGACTCTCCCTACCGTTTTTACTCCTCATACGTTTAATTACTCAAAATTCGCATATGATTTTATTTTCAAATATGTTTCTGCTGTAAGGATCGGAGAATTAAATTCAAACCTAATAAAATTGACTGAAACAATCTGGTAAACAATTTTGTAAGCAAAGACAAATCAATTCTTAACCCGAAACTAAGATGTATCTGAAAGTCGGATCCGAATCCGAAAATTCAATATTCAGCCCGGATCCGACCGTTGAAAGGATTGCTGAATCGTCCGTTGCAAATACACACGTGTCAAACACTTTCCTAATGGGAAGATCTATTCAGATAATATCAATCATCTCCGCCAATCTTCTGTGAGAGCGGGCGAGCAAAGCGGCGGCGATGGAATTGGAATTGGAATTGGAATCGGAATCAGACAAGGTTGTGGACACTGAAGGCCGAGAACCATCCGACATGGGAGGACAAATTCAATCCAAAACACCGTGTCCCCAAACCAGCACCTCAACCACGACGGTAGACGATGACGATAACGACGACGACGACACTGTCGGCGCCCTCTCCAAACCCCCACGCGAGGTAGCTTGCCAGGTGCAAATTGGTTCCTTCAAGAATGACTGAAACAGAAATGTTTGTAGAATGATAGATTATCCATCTTCGTTATGGTTATGGCTGATTTTTCCAGTTGGAGCCTAATTCGGGCAACGAAATTGAGAAACTTAATAGAAGCCCTATCTCAAGTGCCGAAGCCGAAGAGATAATCAAAGTGCTCAAGGATGTGAAGAGGCAGAATTTGGTGACTCACAGGCTTCTCACAGCCTTGATTGTCGTAACCCTAGTTTGGCAGCTCTCCGAGGTTTCTCTCATCTTGAAGATCAAAGAAGGATTCAGCAATCCCCTCAAATCATTGGGCGGAATGATCAAAAGCTTTCTCCCCATCCCTAAACCCAATCAGGGTGCACCTGCCATTGATCCCCCATCCCTCCCAGCTCCTCCCTCAATCAAAATTCCTGAGCTTCCCTACCTGGAATTGCCCGGTGGTTTCCACACTAGCGACGACGATGACTAGTTTAAGCTCATCCATGATTGCTGGTACAATTTACATTATTTGCATTTTGGAAATTGCCCTTGCTTTAAACTGCAAATGACTTTCTCCCTATTAGATATGATTGCACTCGAAGGCATTTTCAAATTCTTACTTTCAAGAGAGTGAATCATCTAGATCTGCTGCCATTGTATGTAAAAGCTATAGACAAGTTTTCTTTGATTGCTTGTCAGTGTTCTTGGTAAGTTGCAATCCCTGTTTTACTACAGCACTGTAATTGTTTAACTCCTAAAAATAAATCTGGATGTTTGATGTTTCATAGTATTCCATTTGCTATATTCCTCTCCGCTTGCAAACTCGAAGTTCGTTATATTCATTCAATGTGTGTTATGACATTGTTGAGGTAATAACTATACAGTTAAACTAAAGGATCTCTTGATGTCTTTTGTCTCATAGCCATTCTAAATACCATATTAGTTTAATGTTGCCAATAAAGCAATCGCTTACTATGATGCAAGGCTAGTGTACCTTTTGCAATCTTGCATTTGGTGTTATCTGTATATTCTATGCTTTAGTTTGGATTCAGTTCTATGAGATGATGAACTTATCCTCGGTCTCTTCTGCATTATGTCGTAAATCCTCAATTTTAGAAGTCATTACTGACTTTCTGGTATTGGTTTGTCTGTAGCGTATACCCTGTTATATATGTGGCTGGAAATCGAAATTAGCCCTGTTGTTTGCCCATTTGACATTTGTTTTGCTAAGAAGTATTTTGCATCTCTGATGTTTGCGCTATGCTTGCTTATTGGTCTGTTCATTCCAAGAATTGCAGGATCATTCTGTTCTTGCACTCTCTGTTTGTCTATCTGTCTCTTCTACTTTTTCTGTTTTAAGTCTTTCGAAGATCTTGATGGTAATCTCTGCTCTTGAAATTGTGTTGGTTAAGAACCTCATGAAGATGCTTCTATGAAACCACATACCTACTCAAGATATCTCTTTACAAGTTCTCTATCTTGTTCATCAGAATGTTAACTTTGGCCATGCATTTCGATGTAGCTTTATAGTATTTGTTCTTGTGATTTCTATCTTTAGTAGATAGAAAAGCAATAGAAGTAGCCTTTATATACGTAAAGGTGACTTTGCACCTCCCGAATAATTGAGAGTTTTGGATACATCAGTTATGTGATCCAAACATATATTTGGCAAATTGATGATGTCCTTCACAGGAATTGGATGGTGATTTTGTGACAATCCTTGTTTCAATATCTATACTTATAGCATGGGTTTCTTTCGATTATGATTTGTGTCTTTTGGTTGTGATTCTCTCAGGTTAGTCTAAACAACTCCCTTTTTTTCTGACAGTTTAGAATTGACATTGCTTCGAATGCATATCTTATTATCTACTACTTATTAACTTGGTTTATATATGTCGTCTAGTTGCTGGTACATGATCAAGCTTTCAATTTATACTAGGTTTCTGTGAGGTCAACAGCATGTTATGTTATGGGATCCGTTGTTTTGTGCATACAGTATTCTTTCGAGGATTTTTTACTCTTTGCTTTCCAGATAGCATTAGAATCATATTGCGAAAGCCGAAAGGATTGGACCCCGATGTCTTGTGATTTTGCTGTAACTAACACTCTAAAATCACTAGTGCGAAGATTTAGCTTGGTCATCCTTTGAACTACCAAATTCTGACACATGATTACGTTTAGAAGTTCACACCGCTAGGCCACTTTCTACTGACAATATTTGGGCAATAGATTTAGTGTTATGAGATTTTCAAGCAACAATCTCCAATTTAACTATATTTGTATGATTTATCACATATTTCAAAGGTAAATATTAAATGAATTTTGTGAGTTTTTTTACTTTTTTTTTTCTTTTATTTTTACTTTCATTGTTATTGTTATGTATATATATATATTCTTTTCGTCTCATAACAAATGATATCATTCCTATTTTAGTTTGTCCCATAAAAAATGATTCATTTGTATATTTGCGGTAAAACTTACTAATTTAAAATATACTTAATAAATATAAATCAATTTAATTAATGAATCGTTCAAAAAAAACTTATTTATATTTTTTTTCAATAAACAAATATTTTTATCTAAATTTAAAATTCTTCATTTCTATAAAATTTATTTATATTAGTAATAAATAAATAAATAATATTTTATATCTACTCCCTCAGTCTCATATCTATCTATCCGTCTGCTTTATGTACGAAATTTTAAGAATATTAGTATTATATTTGGATGTAGTAGAAATAAAAAGTAAAAGTACTAAACTAACCTTATTAATATTGTATGATATAAACGTAATAATATTTGTGTAATATATTGTAAATTATAAAGATATTTTTAATGTTAAGTAGACAGTACAATTACTACAAAAGAAATAGATACTTTAGAACGGATTAAAATGGAAAAATAGATAGATTGTCAAGGGACGGAAAAGTATAAAATTATATCCGTATTGCATATATTTATATTGAGATATAATATTTAAAATATTTAATAGATATTCTAAATTTTTAATTATATATTAATTCTTATATGAAAATTACTAACAATGTTTCTTACGTGAAAAATAATAAAATAATATTATAACTTACTATTATTAACTGATTAAACATCGTGTCTATAATCAAATATATCATTTGTTATGGGACGAATGAAATATTATATATTTAATTTTTTATAATATTTTTAGAAAATCATGTATATTAAAAATACTAAATGATTATACTAATAGTCTTTTCTATATTTTTAATAATTTTAAGATATTTTCAAATTTAAATAAAATATTATTCGTTCCGTCTTGATGAATATACCTCTCTGGGATTTTGTAGTAGATTAAAACATAAAATTATATTATTAATCAATGAGAGTGCAAGAGATTTTGATATTTTGCCCTTTGACTTTAGGTATAAAGTAATTGTATATATAATGATATATGATAGTTTAAATAAAGTTAAATAGTATTTTAGTTTTAGTGTATAATTACTTTTTTATAAAAAATAAAAATAGATACTTCTGAGTACAACAAGTAAAAATGATAAAAGAATATATTTTGAGTTTGGAACAGATGAAATAATATTTAGTTATACATATTTTAAAATAAATTACATTTAAATTATCAAATAATAATAATACTTCAATTGTTTTTTAAATTGGACAATTTGAGTTAAATACCTCGATGTTTAAATTCAACCCCAATTTGAGGTTTTATATTTATATAATAAAATATATATTTTATATGATAGATGAGAAATATACACAAAGAGCGTCACTTACAAATGACCTGCCTAAATTATGATGTATACATAATGGAGCTCAAAGGAGGCCCAAAGCCTTGATGCAGCCCAAGAGGCGCCACTCAAGCCCATAGTGGAGGTTGAGGCCCAATTCCTCTGTAATCCAATCCATTCATCCTTCAGTTATCATGTTAGCCTGCAAATAGAAATATAGGGGCCCAATAAGGTTTTTTTTGTACACAACACTCCCTACGTCTTAAAATTTTTTTGCATCAACTCCCCAACAATTTTAACTTTTCAATATTGTCATCGTCGATCAATTCTATTGCAATCCCAATCACTATGCGTTATAATTTTTCGCGTGAGAGAGTAACCAAATAAGCGGGTGACCGATTATGAATCGAAATCTCAATCTTGCGAGACAGAAATGGGTAAGGCTAATGCTCGATTCTAGACTATGATGTTCTTTTGATGTTATAGTTTTGTACGTTGATTACAATCCCTACCCCTATCTATTTTTCAATTTTTCCTCTATCCCAAATCCAATTCATTTTTATTGATTATAATTCCAATCGATCTGTTATTTTTCATGTGATAGAGAAACGCCTCCGGCGAGCCTTCGATTAAATACTTCTATATCATTTTGGTGGTTCTAATTGGATCTTCCTATGCAGGGACGGAACTAGCTTATGAAGTCAGGGGCGGAGTTGTAAGTAAATTTTGAATTTTTTATGGTTCGATTTCAATTTTAACATACTTCAAAATGTGAATTGTCGAATTTTTTCTATTAAAATAGATGATTAAAAAGTTTTATTTATTTTAAACTAAAAAAATATTTTGGTGGGGCCATGTAAGTCCCCCCGTGATCCTATTCTTTCTCAGACACTATCCAAGCATATTCTGTTGAATGGGACAACCAAAAGTCAGGTATAATCATTAATCTTTTAGCATTATCTGATATTATAACTAATTTTATTTTTGGGAATGATTTATGTAATCTATGGATGTTCTTGTGGTGGTTTATAGAGATATTGAATTTTTTTTTTTGGAATAGACAGAATATGAGGTTAATCTAAAACACAACAAACGAAGTTTCACAATAAGAGTGTATTTTAGAATTTGTTTGGTGACTCGTGGTTGCTTATTTATCGTGTGTTTTGATTGATTCTACGAAAAAACTCAGATATGGATGCTGGTAGTATAGTCTGCATATATTTATGTTTCTTTTACTAGTTGTTGTAATGACACTAAATGAGTATTATTGCCCACTTTCTGGACTATCCATCTTGTATGTATTCTATGTATGTTATGCTATATAGGTAATTAGTGATTTACATATTGAACAAATTATATTTATATTTTTTTTTCCTAAAGTACATAATTTTTTCATAATGGGTATGTTACTTCTATTTGAGGTTTTATATATATTTTAAAGGATTTGTAATATATAGAAAGAAGTTTATAAATTACATATGTAAGTATATTAAATTACAATAGTTGTACATTAACCGTCATTGAAACTATATAAAATGTGAGGAAAGGTATATTTTATTATACAAAGTTGATTGCTTATAAAATTTAATATTGTTTTTGTTTGATATAGTAGAATACATTGTTTGAGGGCCCTAGTAGGAGAATATAATTGTGTTTGGAATTCAGAAAAACGATTGTCCGTATCATGACCAGAACAAACCGTAACTTGGTTTTAGTGCATCCAACTTTGAATGATATTGTTCAAGGCCAATGTTGCGCACTGCTTTGTTAAGGTATAATATGAAGTGTTCATCATATTTATGTCTAAACACATTTAGGGTGTGTTTGTTTGGAGGATTGGATTTCCAATTCACTATTCATCCTATTTTTTCCCCCAAAAAACATCAAATCAAACATCTATTTTTCATTTTTTTTATATTATACTAAAAATCAATTTTACATTCAAAACATCACATCAACACCTATTTATATCATATCATACGACTATTCAAATTCAAAATTTTTACTATTCAAATCCCAACTCAAAATTCAAACCCCCAAACAAACACACCCTTATTTAACTGGTATTTCATGGCCTAGTAGCATCTTATTCGTCTACTTACATTTACATTAATCAATATAAACTCTATTGATTAATGTGGATATTTGAATATTTACACGGAGCTCTCACATAGATTGCGAAGGTATACAATAGTGTGTTTAGAGTATATTAAAATATTACAAATGTATGCATGTACAAACTATGGGCTTCGTCGTTGACTATGAATGTATTTATCGTTTTGCGTAGGTATAGAAGTTGCTAGCGACGGGTATGTATGCACACACCAAGAGTGTTTTGATGGATGTGGTTGCATCTTATAGTTATGGGGCAAAAAATGGATGTGGTTGCATCTTACAGTTATTGTGTAAAAATGACACTACTTTTAGATTTGTTGAGGGTTCTTTGTCATCAAATCATATTGAAACGAGAACTAAAATCATTTATCCATATCTTCAAAGGTAGATGGCAATGTCGTAGTGAAGACTTTGCCATAACAACTAACTTTGTGGTCAATGATAAGATAAATTGAAATTTTAGTAAATAACTGATGAGATTGGTTTCAATTCTTATATTTTTTATTGGCGTTAACCGGCACGACATTTTGCAAACTTTGGAAAAAATATTCATGCACACATGTATTAATAGGTTCGGAGTGTAAATGCTAAGAATAAGGCATATTAAGACTTTCTACAATGTATACGCATTTGTAATTAAAGTTTAGATGGACCTGTCCGTCAATACTTTTAAAACAGTATGGTGGCTACACACACTTTTCCTAACTGTAAAATGTATTTTATAATTTGATAACAGACATACTCATTAACATAGACATATGTAATTATTTCCCAAATATGTACATCTATTACATAAATATAGATGTCTTTGTTGGGGGTATATTATCAAATTAAGAGGTTTGTGGATACCCAATCAAAAAATTTTACTGATCGGACTAAATATTTTAGTTATGGATGCAAATACATCTTATATGAAGGTTAATATTTATAGAGGGATATATGTATATCATATGTTAATTTAAATATTACTTCAGAAAATATCATAAGTTTATTTCTAGGAGTTCAACAATAAGATGATTCCAAATGTATTTGCCGGAACATGATAATAATAACTTACACCCCTAAATCAAGTTGTTCTTGAATCCTAATTTCTTCACAATTAACTTTTTATTCCACTAGAATATATGAATACTGAACACAAGCATCAAATTATCTTCCATATATATATATACCTTCATATATTTTTCTAGTACATTTGATCATACCTCGAAAATTGGACAATATACAACTATTTGATCAATAATTACTAAATGAGATCACTGAAACCTATAGTCAATAGGGTAGTTGAATACGTGTGTACGAAAGCCTGTGATAACATATTGGCCGAGATGACATTGAAAATATAAGAATCAACCAAGTTTAAGTGACTCAATCTATTGTGAACCAATATAACTATAATCGATTGAGAAATACATTCATCAATATTGTATATACATTGAATTAAATTTTGTATACATTAAAAATTCATATTAATATAGTATATGTTGGATTTAGGATCAAATATGTGTATCAAATATATTGTAAAGTCATTATTTTATTCAATCATATTATTTTATGTGGTCTAATTAATAGAATTAATTATTAACTGATGGGCTTTATTGTTATGGAATGAAGTGTAGCTACCCACATATAATATTATTATTTTGGTGACGTGACAAATTAATAATATTAATTAATGGTATAATTGTACTTACAATTATGCTTGCCCTATTATAAATAGGCTAGGGTTAGGTCTCAGGGACAGAGCGCCGTATAAAAATCTGGTTCTCCCTTCAGTTTCTACTCATCACCCGTCAATGATAGACTAGAAGCCAATGCTCATATACCAATTGTTGAATTTTAATGTTCAATCCTTAAAGCCGTACCTGAAGATGAAGCAATATGCGAATCTTGAGTGATTAAATGATTGGTCTTGCAAGAATCCCACAAAATCGGAGTCAGAGTATCCAACGATCTCCAATTGGTTTGACCTCCTATATGTGAGCATGTGATTACTAGTTCTCTTCAAGTATCTCATCAGTCTTTTGGCTGTCTTCCAGTGATGCAATCCAAGATTACTAAGGTATCTGCCTAACACACGGACTATGTACGCAATATTTGGACGCGTACATACTTGTTCATATATGAGGCTCCCAATTGCCGATGCATAGGGGATCTTTTTCATTTCCTCAATTTCCATATTTACTTTAGGGCACTAGGCTGAGACTTAATTTTTCTTCTTTAGCTATAAGGGTATCTTCTGGCTTGCATTCCTGCATGTTGAATCGCTTAAGTACCTTATCGATATAGCACCTTTGGAATAGCCCAAGAACACACCGAGATCTATCAAGGTATATCTGGATCTCTAATACAAAAAATGCTTCACCAAGATCTTTCATTTCAAAGTTACTCGAGAGAAATTTCTTAGTTTCGAGCAACATGCCCACATTATTTATGGGAAGCAAAATTTCATCCACATACAAATATAAGAAAATAATCTTGTTCCCACTGAATTTGTGATAAACACAATCATCAACAACATTCATCTCAAAACCATATGAGAGAATTACTTAATGAAATTTGTGATACCACTGTCGAGACGCTTGTTTGAGCCCCTAGATAAATTTTCTTAATTTAGAAACCATTTGTTTTGGATCACCGACCTCAAAATTTTCTAGGTGTACCATATAGATCGTTTCATCAATATAACCATTTAGAAACGTTGTCTTTACATCCATTTGATGAAGCTCTTATTCAAAGTGTGCCACAAAAGTCATAATTGTCCTAAAATAGTCTTTCGAGGAAACTGGGGAGAAAGTCTCTTTATAGACAATCCCCCTTTTCTGAGTATAGCCTTTAGCTACAAGACGTGCCTTATACCTCTCTACATTACCATTTGCATCCCGTTTGTTTTTAAAGATCAATTTGCAACCTACAGGTTTTGCACTTTCTGGCAATGGGACAAGTTCCCAAACTTTATTGTCTTGCATTGATTTATACTCATCACGCATTGCATCGATCCACTTATCCGAATAAGGACCTTTCATGGCATGCTAAATATTAATTGGATCATCCTCAGTTATGCCATCATTGTCCTCACTTTCTTGAAGAAATGTCCCATAATCATCCAGAATGACATTTCTTCATTCTCTAGTGGATCTATGCAATTGCGTTGCCTCTTGAACTGTATGTTCTTGAGTTTGTTGAGATTCTTCCATAGGCATAGGTTCATGTTCTATATGAACAGGTTTCTCAATCGCGCTTTGAAACTCTATGAGAGCTGGAATGACTGCTAACTCATGAGGTGTTTGATCAATCACATAGTAATTTCTTGATCCTCAAAAGTGAAGTCTAAAACTGTATTTCTCCCCCTAAATTCCACATCCTTAAAGAACTTGGAAGTAGCTGTCTCAAAAATAGTTCTTGATGTGGGATCATAAAATTTATACCCCATTGACCATTCCGAATAGCCAATAAAATAACTGTTCACTGTACGATGTGCTAGCTTTGGTTCATTTGGCCTATAGGCCTTCACCTCAGCTGGATAACCTCACACCCTAAGATGATTTAAGCTAAGCTTGCACCCAATCCAGAGTTCATATGGTGTTTTGACAATCATCTTAGTTGACACCCGATTAAGGATGTAGACTGTTGTCTTTAGTGCTTCTCCCCATAATGATGGTTGCAAAGTAGATTGACTAATCATACTTCGAACCATATCCTTCAATGTGCAGTTTCGTCTCTCAGCAACACCATTCATGCTAGGTAATCAGACATGGTGTATTGAGGGACAATTCCAAACTCCTTATAGAAGTCAGCAAAATGACCTAAACGTTGTTCACCTAAGCCATCATTTTTGTCCTAATATTCTCCTCCACGGTTAGATCTGACAATATTAATACGTTTGTTGAGTTGATTTTCAACTTCAGCCTTAAATGCTTTGAACATGTCTAGTGCCTCAGATTTTTCTTTAATAAGATACAACTGGCCATATCGAGAATAATCATCTATGAATTATACGAAATATTGTTGACCATTCCACGAAGAAGTTGAAAAAAAAGCCCTACAAATGTCTGTATGTCTCAATTCCAAGACATCCGTAGCTAGATAAGCACATGTCCTTTTAACATTTTTTTGTTTACCCTTAATGCAATCGACACAAACATCAAAGTCTGAAAATTTTATGGAATCAAGGATTTCATCCTTAATGACTCTTTCAACTTTGTTTTTTGAAATATGACCTAAACATTTGTGCCACAATAAACTAGAGTCATGCAATATTTGCTTAGTACCTTTTGATTCCACATTTAGGGCCTCATTATAGGAAGCTAGAATGTTGAGCATATATAAGTTGTCATTTACCATAAAAGTACCAAAACCGACCAAACATGAATTTAAAGACAACTAACCTTTATTGTTTCCAAAAGAACATTGATAACTGAATTTATCCAAATAATAAACATAAACCAAATTTCGTCTAAATGACGGTACAATAGAAGTGTCTCGCAATTCAAGAAAATATCTAGTACTCAATAATAACTTGAAAATGCCAAAGGATTCCACCTCTATTGAATCCTAATTCCCAAATTAAATGCGTCTTTCAGCATCAGTTGGGTTTTGGTAGGTCAGACAACCCTGCATTGAAACACTGATGTTAGTAGTTGATCTAGAGTCTAACCACCAAGTGTTTCGAGGTACTAAAGCTAAGTTAACCTCAGAACAAACCAAAGTAAGAAACTTACCCTTCTTCACACGTCAATCGTGAAACGTAGTACAATTCTTCTTCTCATGTCAGTTTTCTTGCAAAAAAAACAAGTCTTCTCTGCACGAGCCCGAAGAGGTGGAGCAGGAGCTGAAACATGAGCCTTAGCAGTCTAAACCTAAACAACCTTATATTTTCTCTTATTGTCGTCTGCATCCTTTGAGGTACCAACCACATGTACCTCCTCAGTCTTATTACGCTTCATCCTTTCTTCCTCCTCAACATAATGAGAGATGAGCTCATTAAGAGTCCACTTCTCCTTTTGACAGTTATAACTGACTTTGAAGTGATTGTATTTGAGTATGAAGTGAGAGCAAGACCAATAGGTTGCAAATGGATCTTTAAACCCAAACGGGATGCAAATGGTAATGTGAAGAGGTATAAGGCACGTCTTGTAGCTAAAGGCTATACTCAGAAAAGGGGGATTGACTATAAAGACATTTTCTCCCCAGTTTCCTTGAAAGGCTCTTTTAGAACAATCATGGCTCTTGTGGCACACTTTGATTTAAAGCTCCATCATATGGATGCAAAGACGACGTTTCTAAATGGTTATATTGATGAAACGATCTATATGGTACAATCAAAAACTTTTGAAGTCGGTGACCCAAAGCAAATGGTTTGTAAATTAAAAAATCTATATGTGGGCTCAAACAAGCGTCTCGATAGTGGTATCACAAATTTCATCAAGTAATTCTCTCATATGGTTTTTTGATAAATGTTGTTGATGATTGTGTTTATCACAAATTCAGTAGGAGCGGATTTATTTTCTTAGTTTTGTATGTGGATGATATTTCGGCTGCCACAAATAATGTCGGCATGTTGCACGAAACTAAGAAATTTATCTCGAGTAACTTTGAAATGAAAGATCTTAGTGAAGCATCTTTTGTATTAGGGATCCAGGTATATCATGATAGATCTCGGTGTATTCTTGGGTTATCTCAGAAGAGCTATATCGATAAGGTACTCGAGCGATTCAGCATGCAAGAATGCAAGTTATGAGATACCCCTATAACTAAAGGAGAAAAATTAAGTCTCAGCCTAGTGTCATAAAGTAAATTTGAAAATTGAGGAAATAAAAAATATCCCTTATGCCTCGGCAATTGGGAACCTCATGTATGCACAAGTATGTATACGTCCAGATATTGCGTACATAGTCAGTGTGTTAGGCAGATACCTTAGTAATCATGGATTGGATCACTGGAAGGCAGCCAAAAGAGTGATGATATACCTGAAGAAAACTCGTAATCACATGCTCACATATAGGAGGTCAGACCAATTGGAGATCGTTGGATACTCTGACTCCGATTTTGCGGGATGCCAAGATAGTAGGAAATCTACATCTGGCTATGTTTATATGTTGTTGATGGGGCCATCGCTTGGTGCAATGCCAAACAGACTCTCGTTACCGGTTTCACTATGGAAGCCGAGTTCGTGACGTGTTTTGAGGCATCACATGAAGCGGTTTGGCGAAATAACCTTGTCATTGGGCTGCGAATCATTCCGACGGTTGAAAAGCCTATCAAGATTTTCTATGACAACAATTCAGCCGTTGAGTACTCCAATAAGAATAGGAGCTCGTCCAGGTCAAAGCATATTGACATTAAGTTCCTAATTTTGAATGAGGGGGTGAAAGAATATCATATTTCGATCGAGTACTTAGGGACAAAATCTATGTTAGCAGACCCCCTAACTAAAGGTGTAACACCTAAGGTCTTCCACGAGCATACTGCTCATATGGGTGTGTTACAGATCAGTGAAGCTTCATTGTAGTGGGGGTATGCATTTATGTTCTTTTGTCTCATTTACTCGATATTTGTCTTATACTCTTTTGATCATTATTTCAGTTGATGATGTTTTGTGGACATTATGTTTAAGTAATTTACGATCTTATTCAGTTTGGACCAGTAGAAAATTGATATGTTTAGATCAAACTTATTAATTTTCTCTCTACACGTTCCATGATTGATTTGTCATTTGACTGCAGTGATATCCGTGATTACTGTGAGTTTGGCTGTTGATATGGCGAATTCTTCTTTAGTCCTATATTGTCGTGATTGGTGAACCGAATTGTTGCAAGCCTTGTCTTATAATGACTGTAAATTGAGCTCATAATAAACAATATGTTTATTCGGACACATACTAGATCTACTGGGAGATATTGAATATATTGTTAAAATTATTATTTTATTCAGTCATATCATTTTATGTGGTCTAATTAATATAATTTATTTTTGACTGGTGGGCTTGATTGTTATGGAATGAAGTGTAGCTACCCACGTATAATATTATTATTTTGGTGACGCGACAAATTAATGATATTAATTAAGGGAATAATTGTAATTACAATTATATTTGCCCTATTATAAATGGGCTAGGATTAGGTCCCCGGGATAGAGCGCCATATAGAGATCTGGTTCTCCCTGCAGTTTTTACTCTTCACCCGTCAAGGATAGAAAAGAAACTGACGCTTTGATCTTGGAAGAGCAATTCTTTAATTGCCCAAGATTTGCATATGGCTTCATCTTCAGGTACGCTTCCGCTTTAAGGATTGGCATTAAAATTCATCAGCATATACCTTGAAATATAATTGATATAGCAATGAAAAGTATATAAATACTTGTTTTTAGTGCATATATATGCCCTATGGACCAAAATGATTATTCTTATAATGTAAGTGTAATTTGATAGTGTAAGAGATGTAGGTAGTCACCAGTCCATTTACTTATATAGAAAAAGTATTTTTTATATATATAATATATATGACCTAAACCCGAAAATATGGAGGTATAAGATTGGTCTATTTAGATTGTGAAAGGTATATGTATATTTTACATTATGTTTAACTCTATATATTAAGTAGTCAGTGGAGAGGTTTTATAGTCGTTTGTCTAATTATCCACCTTAAAATAACATTGTATTGCTTTTCAAGGTTCATTTCATCTCTATTTAGCAAAGATCACTCAAATTTTGTGATTTTATTATAATTCTTTAGTAGTAAATGCATCTCATTGATAGTAAATGACAATATATTGATTGGGATATTGTTAAAAATCAGCAAATCAAAATTGTTTGAGGATACAACATGATATATATATTTATGTACTTGTATATCAGCAACATATCTATATGAATGATAGATACTCCAATCGTATTAGTATATATCTTAATTTTTACTTTATAAACTCATTTTATTATATAATAAGCTTGGAAAAGATGTATATATACTCGTTAAAGATATTAAAAATTCTTATATTTACACTTTATATATCCTAGTATAATGAAAGATTTGGTCACATAATATATGTATAATTCGAGCAATCGTATAATATATGTGCAATTTGAATATTCGTAGAATATTCCACAATTACCATATGTTCAAGTGTACTTGATTTTTTTGTGATTGGAAATGTCATTTTTTCTAATTGCGGGATTAAATAGATAAAACAAGATTAAATAAAATGATGACAAACACCAAATTTTATCTTTTATATATCGATTCAAAATAAATGGACAAATGAATACCCTACAACTCTTGCACTGTCAAATTGTATGTATAGTACACGAACAAAGAAATTGGAATGCAATAGTTTGTGGTTGTACATAAAATATTAGCAAAAATAAACAAACTTTTGCACTCATTCTCCTAATTTTTAGTTTAGCTATCTTTGTATGGAAGAAATATATAAGAAATTAGGAGGTATGCCTTTTATATTCTTTCTCGGTTCTGTCATCATTTATAACAAGGAGATGTCTTTATGAATATACATAACACCGATTTAAATTTATAACATACTACTTAGGTAAGTAATGTTCTTGAAGAGACATTTGAACTAAAAATCAGGGCACAACAAAGGGAATTCGAGGCATTCACAAACAATATATATATATATATATAAAAAAAAAAAAATGAACAAAATTCTCACTAATCAAAAAAAAGATACATGTACAACCAATTCTAAGATAGACATATTCAAACAGCTTTGTTTTTAAAAAATTGCTTCACAAGAGAAAAATAAACCTACGGCATTTGAAAACAGTAAGGAACTCCACCCGCTTCACATTCCAATTTTTATTTTACTACAAATGTAAATCTACAAAAATACAAATGAAGATAAATATATACACAACAAGATCATTTATAATTTCAAATACATCAAAATAACTCATATTCGATTCGATGGTGTGATACAATACCAAAGTAAAATGGTCTGGTACCAAGGCTTGTACAAATCCAACCGAGACACAAAAAAATAGATCTGAGCACACCGTGAACTCAAAAAATCGCTTCTACCAAAACTATAAATTTTAACTTACTTTCTCTAACTTTACTTCGGGGAGGAAGTCTTTTCGTCATGTCGATCGGGGTCGGAGGTTTCAACGGCGAGGGAAGACTTCCAACAGCGACAAAGGTTTTTGTGGGTAGATTCGGCGGCGATTATTTCGGTGGGATGCTTCGGCAGCGAGGTGTTGAATGGGAGGAGAAAAGTTTGAAAGAAACAAACTCATTGACAACGTAGGATTCTCGCTTTTATTAAGATCTTGTTTTGATTTTTAGATTAAATTTAATCATATCATTACTTTTAGACCCAAAAAAAAAAAAAAAAGTAAAATAAGTTTTACACTAATTAAAATATAATTATTTTTTGAATTTTGCGTCAAAAATAAATGTATACTTTATAATCGGACGGAAAAAATATTATATATACATTATGATAAATATAATAATATTTATTTATCACATATTTATTAATTATAATTATATTAATTTTTGTAATTATGATTTATCAACACGACAGTTAATTAAGAATAATTAATAAAAAATATACCAAAAAAGTTAATAAAAGAAAAGGAAAAAATAAATTGTTAGTGGAACTCACGTGGTTGTACTCCTACGTCCCAATATAAATTGTCCGTGTTAATATAAATATAAAAATTTAGGTAAAATATAATAATACATAATTAAAAAGTGTATTAATAAATATAATTATTGTATAATATAAATAATTATAAATTAAAATTAAAATAACTAAATAATTTAATTAAAATTAAAAATTTATAAATTTTGAATTTTAAAATATTATTAAAATGTATAATTACATTTTTAAAGAAAATGACAAATTATGTGAGATTAAACAAATAAAAAATATAAATATTTGTATGTGAGACAGGGAGAGTATTATATTTATATATATATATAATATTTTAATATTTTTTGTGGAAAAAAATTTTGGAATAATAATATCTAAGATCCCACAATTTTTTATATTAATTATTAAGAATTATGGGATTATTTTGAAAATTATACTATTTTTTAGATAAAATATATTTTTATTGTTTTTAATTATTTTATAAAATAAACTAATATATTTTTATTAAAATATAAATAAAAAATTTATTGAAAATAATAACGAAGAAAAAGAGCAAACCAAACGGCTCTATTCACAACCGTTTTTCCAGATAAAATAATTTTTGGTGTGGTACAAAAAAAATGTATAAAAAATATAAAATAATATTATTTTATATTGAATATTTGAATTTTGATTTTTGGTAATGACTTTTGATTTTTTATAATAAATATTTAAAAATAATTTAATATTTTTTACTTTTATATAAAATATTTCTTTATTTTATATTACTTTCACCGTCCACTTAATAAGTTTATATTTATCTTTTGTGTCATTTTACTTAACATTAAATCTATCCTTATATTTGTACAAAAGTTTCGTGTAATTAGTATTATAAGACACTAATATAAATATTTTTGTCAATTTTTTTTATTTGTATTATGTTCTAATATGACAATTAATATTTAAAGACCAACCCGCAAAAAGAAAATGTAAACTTTACAAGTAAACGGAAGTAGTATTATTTTTAAGAAATTATAATTAAAAAATGATGGTCAAAGAACATAGCCAATATTTTTAAATGAAAATAATAATAACAATGAATAATAAAATGTATTAAAAACCCACGGATAAGCATGTCTAAATGACTATGGGAGTATTCACTCTTGATTTTGTAAGATTTTGTTGAATTTTTTTAATTTGGTGTATTCAATTCAAATTTTTAAAAGTCTGTTTAAATCAGAAGGTATTAAATTCAGAATTTTAAAAATCTTTCAAAATCTTATTGTATTCAAGAATACATATATTTTAAAAATATGTGAATTTTATTGAATTTTAATGAAATGATATTAAAGAATTGTACAGCGTAGAATCTCTCTTAATACAAAGAGATTCCGGTGAATTCTTTAAAATATATTATTATTACTATTATTATTATTATTAGTGATAAATATTATCATAATATTTATTAATATTATTATACTGTTTTACTAAAATAATAAAAAGTTCACAAATTAAAATATACTAGTGAAAAATGATAATTATTTTAAAATTTAAAATATAATAGCAAATTATTAGAAATTTTTTTAAAAAACTGTTTTTTTTATTTAATTTATTTTTTTAACATTAAATTTATTAAATTAATAATACATATACACATATAATAAAATTATACTAAAATTCTAACTATTTAAAACAAATTATATAACGAATGATAATATAATAAAAAACTATAAAATTAAAAATATTATTATATAAAACTAGTACTCCCCCGTCTTATACAATTACGCCATTTTTCCTTTTTTACTTGTCTCATTCAATTATGCTACTTTCCATAAAAAGTAAAATTAACAAATTTTTAATAACAATTAAATCTTAACTAATTCAAATTAATTTATTTAATTTTTTACTCATAATTATTTTAAAATTTTATTTTTAATCACATTTAATTAAAATTGATAAAAATAAACATGACCCAAAAATCTGAAAACTCAACTCGGGGATGACATGAAAAATCAGACTTGGGCCGAATGTAGCTGAAATTTAAAAAAGAAAATTATTTTTAATATTTTTTAAAAAATATTTTATAATTAATAAATTTTAACAATGTATTTGGTTTGAGATTTTGATTTTGAATTTGTGTTCATAATAACAAAAAAAAAAATTAGATAGGTTTTTTATTCAATATAAATATGTATATTTTGAATGTATAATTAATATTTAATATAATATAAAAATAAAAAAATAAAAAATTGATTTGATATTTTTAAAAAAAATATCGGGTGAATAAAATATAACGATGTATTTTGTTGGAAATTTAGATTTTGGATTTGAATTTTGAATAGTAAGATGCTTTAATTTAAATAATTTTTTTTATATTATCTAAAAAACTATTGATATAATATTTTGAATACAAAATTAATTTTTAATATAATATTAAAAAAATAAAAAAATAGAGTTAGATTTAATGTTTTTTTTAAAAAAAAAAAAGAATTAGTGAATAATCTTAATAATGTGTTTGGTTGGGGTTCGAATTTTGAGTTTAAGTATTGATAGCAAAAATTTTCAATTTGAATAATTATCAGAAGTTACATGAATAAGTATTAATGTGATATTTTTGCTATGAAATTAATTTATATTATAGTATAAAAAATAAAAGATAAAAGTTTA